GTAGTTCAAAGTGTGGCCCTAAACCCTAAAGTCTCATGAATTACTGAACTGGCTAAATAAAAGGACATCAAGAGGATGTGGGGGAAGAGGTAGCTGGTGCAGAGTTGTGAGTACGCAGCCCTGCCTGCCACTTGCAGGCTACACCTGGCACCTCCCTGTACCCTCAACACCAGTCCTTAAAGGGGTCCATCTGAGCATTCCAAGTAGCTTTTCTGAGAATGCACAGCGAAAGGAGTCTCATGAAGCAGGTGCATTTATACCCATTAGTCTGTGGAGTTGTTAAAACTAAACCGGTAGAAGGCTGGTAATGTTTCCTGTGTATCCCAGTACTGCATACAGAAAACACTAACTGGGCGGACAATCCATACAGGTTATGCTCTGTAGGTAGCTGACAGCAGCAAGCCCGTCTGTGGATGAATCACCAGGAACCAGTTGACACACACATCCATCTAAAGAGACAGAGGGTGTCAGAAAGACTGACACAGAATTTGCTCAGAATAAATTCAAGTCAAACAAAGTCCCGGAAAACAGACCAGCAGGTCTTGTCACTCACTGGCAGTGAGCATTACAGCTGGGTCCAAGGCAACTGCTGCTTCATGTTCACTTACTTCACATGAACATTCTAGAGCATTCGCCTTGGAAGCTTCCTTGGGAGCATTCTCTTGGAATGTTCTTGGAAGCAGGGATGGGGAGACTTCATCTCATGTACTTGGGACATGCTGTCAGTAGGAACCAGCTCTCAGAAAAGGGCGTCATGCTTGGGAAAGCAGGGAGTCATAGAGAAAGCGGAAGGTCATCAAGGAAATGGGCTGCTACCGTGGCAGAAACCATGGGCTCAAAGCAACAACCATTGTGAGGAGGTTTCAGGACCAGGCAGAGCTTGCGTCTGTTGTACAAGGGCTACCTAGGAGTCTGAGCCAACTTGGCAGCAGCTAACCTCTTTACACAGGACTTAGAGGCTCTACCTGAAACAGGGGGGAGGACAAGCACATGTAAACCCCATCTTCAGACATGGACATGGGGTTTTTTGATAAAATCTGTAATATTTTTAATCAAGTTAAAGAAACCCATTTGTTTAAAATTCAATTTAAGTGTGGCATAGTGTCAGCATAAAGCCAGCAGTTCAAAACCACTAGATGCTCCAAGGTAAAAAGCTGAGGCTTTCTGCTCCTGTAAAATTTACAGCTTTCAAAACCCAAATGGGGCCGTTATAGTCTGTCCTATGGACTCACCACGCATGAGACAGAATCAACTCGATGGCAGTGAGTTGAGGTTGTCTTGGCTCACGCTATGTAGTGGAGCAGCTGTCCCCAAACATCTATCTATCTATTTGACAATGTTGCATTACTTATTCCACCACCTCCTTGTGTCTCCTGTTCCCATTCCTCTTTCCTAACCCATTTGAACTCAGTCCTTGGGTAAATGCTGCCCTTTTGATCTTGAGTGGTTGACTAGTCTAAAGAGGTCGT